TAGTTGATTTTCAGATTCATGTAGATCTCTACTGCCGTCAACATAATCCAATTACTGTCAAGGCAACAGTGCTGCTGTAACCATTTGTTATATAACACATAGCCATAGACAATTATCAAAATCAGACTTTCTTTGATAAGGTTGGACTCAGAAAGACAAAATTCATGTAAACAAAATTAGAGGAAAGGGTATTAAAAATATCATACATGTAGTTAAAGATTATGCGTGATTTTAGTGTTATAAAATCTCTTGCACTACAATATTGTGAAAGTAGAATCTCTAATTTAGTTGAATTTTTCCAATTTTTTAAATTAGGTGTGTTAAGATGAAATTTGTATCATCAATTAATTGGAATATTGTAAAATAGTACAATTTGTTGACCAGAATAAAGATTGGGACATATTATTCAGTTACAACAAGAGAAGTATTGAGCCTTTAATCGACTTTTGTTGTTGTGAACCAAAAAGATGGGCCTGTTTTAAATCAAAGTCTGGTGATTATCTGACATTTTGATTTCTTAATATTTATTCGGCCACATTGAAATGTGATTGTATATTGTTGTCACCCCCTACTGTCTGACGGTCCGGCGTCCACCATTGCTTGTGAACGCTCTAGAGGCTAAAGTTAATATCAGAATGACTTTAAATTTATACACAGTGTTTAAGGTCATGAGATGAAGAAGCCTGTCAATTTTCAATGATTTCCAATGATTATGGAAATTGATATTAAATGTTTTGTATGTGAAATGTTAGAACAGGGCACAACTAGAAGCCAAATGGGTTGTTGCTTGTAATCAGATTTTAGTGGGTTGTAAATGTTTTCATTTCTGACAAAAAAAAAATATGCGCCAACCCTTGTTGACACCCCGAACGACTTAGAATTTTTGGGCGTATGTTTCATTTCCTGCCAACCTATCTTTTGTATTAATGTGGATTAAGCCCTGATAAATTTGAAATTTTCCGAAATATGTAAATAATGCATCAGTTACTTTAAGTGATTTGTTCCAGTTATTATTGACAGTTGACAGTCATTATCTGGTTGGATTTGACCAAATTCTGAATTAGACTAGGAATTGAAATAAAGTAGTTTAACATCCTGGTTTTTCCGCACGAATTAGGGTAATTGACGTCAGGCATACATACATGTGTGTGTATTACAATCAATGCGTTTGTTTTTCCTGCACAAATTATAGAAAATCTAATGTCATTGTCACTCGAATGTCTTTAGTGCATTGTAATTTGTATAAAACAATCAATACACGCAAACCAAAGTATGTTTTTCTGGCACAGATAGGGAATCTTATGTCATTATCACTCCAAGGTCTTTGGTGTATTGCTTTAAAAATGTGATGTCGGAAAGACATTCTACTGGGAGATAATCCAGTTAACTTTAATCAAAACATCAATTATTCAGACTGGTTATTGTAAATTGTTTAAAAAGTACATGTATTATTACGTTTCTTATTCACACTGATTATCACTTCCATTTTTCAATGGGTTTGCCTGTCTGTCTGTCTGTCACAAAGATACATTATGGAAGATTAGATAAAGAGCTGGCAGTTCTCAATATAATAGTTAAAAACTAGATAATGTAAAGGTAATTTGCTGAAAATTTCAGTCAAATTGATCCTCTATGAACCGAGAATTAAGTGATTGAAATTTCGACCTAGCCACAATCATCATTACTAAAGTTGGTACGATAAAAAACAGTTTTGATTATCCATTTTTTGATTTAATCAGAAGCAGCAGAATGGGTACTAATCCAGTAAATATTGCAGGCTAGCGATGCCATCGAGAGTTGATTATAGTCTGGATAAGTTAATTAATGTCTAATTAATGATTTAGATAACACTTCAGGCCTAAAGAACGACCTGCAATTGGCAGATTTAGCTCTTGCATAATGTATGTTTAAGCAGTGATAAGCAATTTGACTGCTCAATGTTTTATAAAAAGTAATTTTTGCAAGGAATTAATGAGTGTTACCTATTTATTTTTTGACGAAGGTTTGGTTACCTACATGTATTTATTTTTTGACGAAGGTTTGGGGGAAGGAGACATCAGCTTGTTTTTAAACATATTTGAAATTTCAGTTCTGAATTTAACAGTAGATCTAAAGGCCAGCTTGAGCAGATCACCTGATGCGTAAAATCACAATCAAAATGTTATTGAGACCAAATGACCATTAAATATTCATGGGTATATTGTCTGTCTGTTTTTAGATACTCACTTAATTGTAATTTTAGATTAAATCATGAAAGAGAGATTAGATTCAATAAAAAAAAAACAGCTGTTGTTGACAAATTACATTTCTATATAAGGGGGTTGGATGGCTGAATGGTTAGCATGTGCGCGCTGTATCATAAAGTCTGTCATTGAGTCAACTGGCGGGGTTTCGATTCCCCGGTTGTACGTGACCTTGAGTAGGGTCGCCTGTCAAACCTTGCGAGTTTTCTCTGGGTCCTCCGGTTTCTTCCCACAGCTAAAGAACCCTACGCGCAAGCAAATTATGGAAATAAAATTGAACCATATGTTAGTCCCAAAATAACCTAGTTTGTGTTGAGACGACATTAAACCCCATTTCTCTCTCTGTCTTTCTATATAATTGTTTATTCAACAGTCCAACCCATTGCGTGATAGAATACATTATGTAAATAACCATCCCTGGGATTTTTATACTAACAACATACACAGGTGAAAATGCATAACAGTAGACAGCCTTTAATCTCATCTAAATATATTATCTAGAGGATCGTATAGAATTGAGTAACGGTTGAGATTTCCCTAGAGATTTTAGGTCTGCATGTACATGTATGTGTAATCGCCAATCTCCATTAATTCAATGAGTATATCCACGTTTTATGGACTTTGGGAATTACAGACCTGATTAGCTCCTTTATTAAATTAATTTATTGAATGTCCAGGTATGGAAATATTGATTGTAGTGGTCTACTGGTCTCTGTCAAAAGGTCAGCCTCTAACGGAGTAGTAACTGCTATTTTCAATTTTGTGCCTGACATTTTTTAATTGGGTATCAATAATGATACTGTAAAAAAGATAAAACTGTGTGCGAGAAAATGACAGGCACGAGAGAGGTTTTGCGTGACAGATGCTGTATTTCTAGACTTGTCACTAGTCAGTGTCTCGTCGTAATTGAAGTATAAAAGACATTGTTGTTTGTTGTGTATACAATAAGTCTACTGGGTGTTTCACCCTACATTATTATGCTAATAATATATTGTAACACTGAATACATAAAACAGCTACTAATTTATTACGTAGACGTTTCCAAGAATAATTCTCTCAAATGTCACTCAAATAAATTAGCACATGTAGATGTTGTCCACAAGTGGTGCAGGATGGAGGGCCTGAAAAGGACAGCTGTCTAGTCATTTGGATGGGTCAAAAAATTGAGGTCTTTTGTACACATTGGCGTGCATGTAAAAGATCCATTTGCAGTTGGAATTCGATAAGAGTAGGCCGTAGCGCCACTGCCGCTGTCTGGGCAAAATTACCCTCATAGAACACTGCATGGCGTATGCCCGTCTTCATTAGCCCAATCAGAGTGCAACAGTAGGACGTTAAACTCACTTTCATTTAATTTGCATTCCATAAGTATGTGGGGGGGGGGTGGGTGGATGGCCGAATAGTTGGCATGTGCGCGCTGTATCATACGGTCTGTCATTGAGTCAACTGGCAGGGTTTCGATTCCCTGGTTGTACATGACAAGGAGTAGGGTTGTCTGTCCAATCTCATGGGTTTTCTCCGGGTCCTCTGGTTTCCTTCCACTGCTAAAAAGCCCCACGCGCAAGCAAATTATTGAAATAAAAAATTGAACCATGTGTTAGTCCCGAAATGACCTAGTTTGTGTCGAGTGGACGTTTAACTCCATTTCTCTCTCTCTGAGAATTATTTGTTATAGGTTTAATACTCTTATCTAGTAACTTAATGCCTCTAAAAGATTTCTATGTACAAATGTGTAGAAACTGTTACAATTCATTTCAATCGATAGCTTTCAAATAACAATCTGTGAATGTGTGAGATGTTTAAATTGATAAGTTGGCGAGATGTATGTTAAAAATTACTTGATGTATAAGCTTACATGTAATATGACATGCCTAGTAAAAAGGGTGTCTTACCTTCTTCAGAAACATTTGCTAATTACTAAAAAAAAACCATTAATATATATTCCAGAATGTCTTCTTTTTATGTCATGTTGTCAATGAAAGTATTTTTTGTAAACAGAATCCCAAGGCCACTGTGTCAAATTAACCCTTAGCTAAAAGTACAGTAATAGTAAGTGATACGGGAGAACAGCACACACTAGATGCTGACAAAACCCACTACACAAACCTGCGGTCAATCTGAACACGCAAAATACACAGGCATTTCAAGAAATAAACAACAACATCACATACATTTCAAATCAAGTAAACGAATCTGGGCGTCAGCTGTAAGCGTTAGCTGCGCTGTACAGTCCGAACCTTTAATGATGCAGACGTCAAAGTTAGAAATTACCGATAATAAGGGCAATTATCCAGAAAATGTTAAAATTTAACAATTAATGAATAGAAATACATAAAGTATAGTGAGTAAACAGAAGGGTGGAAGAATCCCTGGTACACTGCAGGCAAGATAAAAAAAAAATCCTCTGTATCATCTAGTTGTTTACAGGGTTTATAACTTTTGTTAAACAATCATATAATTTGTATATTGCAATGTATTTTGTGTGTATTGAGGATTTAATACATTATGTACATTGTGTACGATCTAGTTCACTGTTTACGATCTAGTTTGTTGTTCACGATCTAGTTCTTTGTTTACGATCTAGTTCGTTGTTTACGATCTAGTTTACGATCTGGTCCATTGTTTTACGGTTCTAAGTTATAATGTTATGGAATATTTGATATGTACCATTGTTTACGATCTAATTTGTTGTTTGCAGTTGTTAGTTATAATGTTTAATATTTCTATAATTTGTGTATTATTTTGTATATTTTTCAGGATTTGATATGTACCATTGTTTATTGAATATAGTTATAATCTACATCTTACTGTTGATTTCACCTGGAACTAAATTATCTGTTGGTCTGGCTTTCTTTATTAATACTGTAAGTATTTTACGTTTTAATATTCTTTTATTGCCTTCAGGAGACTGTCAGTTTCTCAATCCCTTTCAACATTTGAAAAAAATATTGTTTAAAGAAAAAAAATAATTACCATCATATTGTTTAAAGAAAAAAAAAATAATTGCCATCATCTTGTCGTAACCAACGTCTTATTTTAATCAAGAAAATAATGGAAGCTAGCAATTAATGGTTTATTGACGACATATCGCATGTTAATGTCAATGCCGGTAATATGGAAGAATTCTCACTCACATTATATAAGTATTTAGTAAATATAGATAACTGTATGTTATATAGTACTTAAAATAAAATGGAGTTTAACGTCCTACTGTTCTGTTCCGACTGGGCTAATGAAGATGGCTGTACGCCATACAGTGTGCTATGACAGAAATTTTGCCCGAACAAAATTTATATTGAATTTAAACTGCCAGACTATCTTTTACTTTCACGCCAATGTATACATGTACATGGGACCTGTTATTCGTCCCATCCGAACGACTAGACAATTGGTGTTGATGAGACATTAAATCCCAACCGATTGGTGTTGATGAGACATTAAATCCCAACCAATTGGTGTTGATGAGACATTAAATCCCAACCAATTGGTGTTGATGAGACATTAAATCCCAACCAATTGGTGTTGATGAGACATTAAATCCCAACCAATTGGTGTCGATGAGAAATTAAATCCCAACCGATTGGTGTTGATGAGACATTAAATCCCAACCAATTGGTGTCGATGAGACATTAAATCCCAACCAATCGAAAGTACATGGTCGAATAACTGATCAGAAGCACATGATCAAATACTGTGTCTCTCTGCCGTTATTGGTATTAATCTTGTTTGTTATTTCAGATGTATTTAACCCTAGGATATATCAGTCAATCTACTGATTCGTATGATTTTAATGATATTAATCTTGTTGTGTTTGTTTTGTTATTTCAGATGTATTTAACTCTAGGATATATCAGTCACTCCACTGATTCGTATGATTTTAAATGGACCATGCCACACTGTGTTTTAACGTTGAGATTAACCGGGGTGGTGTTCGATGTATATGATGGCAAAAAGAAAGTAAGTTATAATAAACCTGATTCCCCGGTTGTACGTGACAAGGAGTTGGGTCCGCCGTCCAACTTCGTGGGTTTTCTCCGGGTCCTCCGGTTTCCTCCAACTGCTAAAGACCCCTATGAGCAAGCGAATTATTGAAATAAAATTAAACCATATGCTAGTCCCGAAATTACCTAGTTTGTGTCGAGTGGACATCTAACCCCATCGCTCGCTCTCTCTCTCGCTTTCTCTCTCTCTCTGTCTACTGTCAAACTGTATGTTAAAGTAACACGGTCTGGATGATCATGTCTACTGTCTTTCAGTATGTTAAGCTGAAAGCAATGCGGTCTGGATGATCATGTCAACTGTTTTCAGTATTTTAAACTGAAAGCAACACGGTCTGGATGATCATGTCTACCATCTTTCAATATGTTAAGCTGAAAGCATCGCGGTCTGGATCAGCATGTCTACTGTCTTTCAGTATGTTGGATCTCCATATAAAGTTGGTGTAGTCCATCGACCATAACAATATCATGATGGAGTTCTAGCGTATATTTTATATCGGCATCTTAAACATTGTTTCAGCAGTTATTTCAATATGCTTGTCTTTTATCTATTTTAGACTGGTATATCTCAAGAACAGAAGGAAACAGCTTTAAGTAGAGTTCCTTCCCTTATAGAAATGTTAGGTCATTCTCTATGTTATGGTGGCTTTATGATTGGTCCTCAGGTAATAATCTGTTTAACCTCGACATATTTCCTGTACAGCAACAATATTATGTTTTAATCTATATTCATGTGCATAGAACACATACTGGGCCGTTGAGAGTGGTGACAGGCCTTGTGGCAAATGACCGCCTCATTCCATCTCATCAATGAAATCAAATGCAATTTTTAGAATCAATTTATATATTTATTTCCTTTTTGTGGCCCCTTTTCACAGGTCCCCTGAATGTAACCATGTTGACCAGCCCAAAACTGGATAATATGTACCCTTACCAGAGGCACCCTGGATGTACCCAATGTGACCAACCCCAAACTTGTCATGGCCAGCTCGACTCCAAACTATTAGATTTTGCGGGTAAAGATAAATAAAGAGGTCGATCTGAATCTACTGTCTTTCAGTATGTTAAACTGAAAGCCTCATGGTCTGGATCACCATATCTACTGTCTTTCAATACATTATAATCAAATTATAAAGCGGGTGTAGTCCGTCGACACGAGTAATATGATCTTGTATCTATAACATAACTGATATCATTATAAAGCGGGTGTAGTCTGTCCACACGAGTAACATGATCTTGTATCTATAACATAACTGATACATGTGTTGTATGATTTGATTTCAGTTTTCTATGAAGAGATATTTGGATTTTATAAATGGCAACTTCTCTAATCCCACAACTGGTAAACCACCAGATAGGTATGTACATGATAATATTATACACTGTAACTGAGATATATGTATGTACCAGTGATGGGATTTCAAAATTTTTCTTGTCGGACATTTTACCAAAAATAAAGGGGCATAACTCTTATCGTTATTTAAGCAGACGAATTCATACCACAATTAAAAGTCACATGTCAAAATATTCAAATCCCGTACGTAATAAAAATAGGTGAACCTCGCTATTTTTCATATTTAATTCCCATACAGTATTCAATTCATACCACAATTAAAAATCACATGTCAACAAAATATTCAAATCCCGTACGTAATAAAAATTGGTGACCTCGTTATTTTTCACACTTAATTTTAATTCCTGTACGGCATTCAAATTTATGTCAGTAAATGTCCTACAAAATTAAGCATTTTCGTAATATGTTGAATGAAAGCTTGCCGATCCTGCTTCGGCATCAAATTCACAACCATAATATTCCTTTAGAATTACGTGTCTTCGTTTATACGGCAGCAAATGAATGCAGAACTTCTGAAATAGTTAAATCACTTGTGAACAGGCATAGCTAACTTCAGCGAATAACACTCTTTCATAGTCACGACAGAGTGACAGGCATCATAGGCAACACAGCAGAATGATTGACATGGGTGCGGTATAGCATCAACCAACTTCAGTGAACGGCGTACTAGTCTCGGTCACCCAGAAACTCCTAGTCTTCAACATATTCGTAGAATATATTTCTGGATAATAGAGACTAATAGCCTACTTCACTCACATCACACAGTTTCATAGTAAGCCCTGCCTAATAATATTATGTTAAGCAATATTTGTGCCGCGCTCGAGATCAAGGGAAAGTGCCAAGTGCTGTGGATGAGAATTTCTATATGGATTCTTAAAAGACGTAAAATATATCGTAGACAAAATGACTGTCCATTGATTTAGGGTGTTATATACTCTTACAATATGTGACATCTATGATTAATTTATTATAGATGCTGTCGGCTCACATCTATGCGATTAAGATGCCCGACAATTGAGAAACCACGAGGTAAACAGGTGGATTAAAATTATAATCATTCTTATTGAATTGATGAATAGTCCGACAAAAGGAAAGCAATGACTTCTGTTTAAGATTAGATTGATGAATTGTCCGACAAACAGGGCTTGCCACGAGACGCGAGCAAGCGCTCGCTTGCGCTGTGCTCGCGTAAATCTACATTTACGCGAGCGGTTCGTTGCTCGCGCAAAATTTTAAGAAAACCCTGTAAAAATAATCAAAATATTGACAAGTTTATTGCCGAAACTAACCCAACAATGTCAATAACGTCATAAATTCGTCTGTCAAACTGAGATTCACCCAGCTGCACGCGGCATTTCCTCCTGAAATTTGATTGGCTAATAAAGTTACTCGCAACTTGTGTTACTAAAAATACACTTTAGACCTGAACGTCATGACTGGTTTTCCTACAAACACCAGTAACAAACACGTGATAATCGAGTCTAAAGTAAAGAATGTTTACATCCGGCATTTGGCATTCACGCTAAATGAACACGTTTCAAACTAATATTTATCGGTATTTCCTATTTTATCAGAACTTCGGTTTTTATTCCATTGTGCAGTCGTATAATTTTCAATCTAAGCGTAATAATGGCCAAAGGCAACCTGATTGCCTTATCCACATTTATTTCGTGGGGTGAAGAAATCCATACGGAAATTGGTTTTAATAAAGAAGAGTACGTATGACTGTCAAAAACAGAAAGCGATGGTCACACATGTTTACTGCAAACTTTGTGCCAGGAATAGCAATTTTCTTATGATTTTAAATTGAAACAATGTTACAAAATGTGTGCTCACGCAAACAACATTTTGCTTGAGCAATTTTTATTGCTCGCCCAAACCTAAATTTGCGTGAGCAGTCATCTGCTCGCCATCAATTTATTCGTGGCCAGCCCTGACAAAGGATTAAGTCAGTCAATCAAGGCAGATTAAGTAGTTAATCAAGGTAGGTTTATAGACGGTATAACACGATAAATACGTTGATCACTTAATTACCTAATAAACCCCCGTATTATCAACGATAATCGGGTTGAGTGGTAGTTATAAACTCAGTAAACTATATTAGGCAACACAAATAAAATAAGTTGTTTCTCGGGCACCGCCCGCACGCAAAATTGGTTGCGCGTGCGGCCTATTTATTAGTCTTGATGAAAAATAAAAATATGTAACGCCCGCCCGAACATCGATAAGCAAGTCATAAAAAAAATATGCCGCATGTATCTACATGCCCCATACGTGAATATCCATTCAAATGTATTAAACTGATTCAGATGTAAACGCTCATTTACGGGTCTTTTTTTATTGATATCGAAAGAACCTCCATTTTTGTATCACATGATTTTAATTACCTCCCCTTGTGAACTAGAATTTGATTCGTGTTAAACATCGAAAGTCATTGACAACAATGCAATGTATTTCAATCATTCGATCTTAATCGGCTCATTATTGCCGGCTTCAGTCGGTCCATGTTTGAAAAAATCCTACTTATAAAACAATGAATTGTAGAACAGGTTAATTATTATAACTTGTGGCTACGAATACGATACGATGATAGTCACCATACCTTAGTCAGAATCTGGGTCATAAGCACATTTAACGGTAGTTTTGATAATCCGGAAAATAATAATTGGATTACACATTTGATGGTTTTACTGACGAGTTGTTAGTTAAATTTAAATAGTCATTCGATATAAACCCCAGATAGAACACCGAATATCCTGAGAAACACACCGAATAACCTGAGAAACAGTCATATCCCGATGACACGTGACATTGGTTGGAATTAGGTCAATCATTATAAACCAGCGATACTAGATTTAGATCGCAGTGTCGTTTACCGTGATGATTATTTTTGATACACATGCTGACAGAGGTTTACTCTTTAAAATATTGTCGTTATTATGGACGGCTATTAATAGTCGTACGGAATTTTATTTTAAACCAATTTCAATTATGGTTGTCACCATTACCATTAGTAAGCTACATTACGTGAATTAAATATGGAAAATTATTTTCCTTTCAGTCAGTGTTCAGTGTTTGAGTAGACTTGATTTTTGGGTTTATGTTCTAAGTATGTATAATATATAATTGAAAGCAAAACCGTAGACAAGTAATGACTTTCTCATTAAAAAAAAAAAAAAAATACAAGGCTGCCCTCCCGCCCAAACAATTTTCAACAATAGGCAAATTTTATTTTGCACCATCCTCTAGCCATAAATGAGATAAAAAAAAAAATAAACCGCCCTCCCCCCCTACAGTTTCAGCTGTCAGTTGCCCGAGAAACAAGACATTTATTTTGTGTAGCCTTAATTTCGGAATTTTGAATATTATTCATCATGTCTTGATGTCTGATTGGGCATATTTCCGGTCGGACAATTTTGGGCGTTTGGAAAAAATATTCGGACAAGTCCGGAATATACGGGCAAAATCCCATCACTGGTATGTACAAGGTTGACAGTTAAAATTCGGTAAAGAGTATGTGAAAACACTATTGAAATGTAAATATATTTAACAGTATTTCTAACTATGATATAAATGTTTATTATATTTTAGTATATATGCTGGTTTAAAAAGATTCAGTCTAGGAGTATTATATATTATCATTTATCAAGTATTAAATTACTTTGTTTCTGATGATTTTATCCTCTCATCTAATTTCCAGGTACGTAACAAATCATTTTCTTGATTAATTTAATGGAGAGCTTGTTAGTCTTACTATGATGATAGCTGCCACTAATAACATGGACGGTTGATGTAATCATCTTTGTTAACATGGACAGTTGATGTAATCATCTTTGTTAACATGGACAGTTGATGTAATCGTTGATAACATGGACAGTTGATGTAATCATCGTTGATAATATGGACAGTTGATGTGTTCATCGTTGTTAACATGGGCAGTTGATGTAATCATCTTTGATAACATGGACAGTTGATGTAATCATCTTTGATAACATGGACAGTTGATGTAATCTCATTGATAACATGGACAGTTGATGTGATTATCTTTGATAACATTGACAGTTGATGTAATCACCGTTGATAACATGGACAGTTGATGTGATCATCGTTGATAATATGGACAGTTGATGTGATTATCTTTCATAACATGGACAGTTGATGTGATTATCTTTCATAACATGGACAGTTGATGTGATTATCTTTGATAACATGGACAGTTGATGTAATCATCGTTGATAATATGGATAGTTGATGTGATTATCTTTCATAACATGGACAGTTGATGTGATTATCTTTCATAACATGGACAGTTGATGTGATTATCTTTGATAACATGGACAGTTGATGTAATCACCGTTGATAACATGGACAGTTGATGTAATCACCGTTGATAACATGGACAGTTGATGTAATCACCGTTGATAACATGGACAGTTGATGTGATCATCATTGATAATATGGATAGTTAATGTGATTATCTTTCATAACATGGATAGTTGATGTGATTATCTTTGATAACATGGACAGTTGATATAATCATCTTTGGGCCTAATGAAATAAGACAAACATTTTTACATTTGGCTCACATCATCGGTCATCAGTAAAGACGAGACAACAAGAATGACATCTTTGTAGCATTGATTATCGTCCCGTGTATACATTGGCATGCACGTAAAAGATTCCTTGGCAGTTGGAATTCGATATAAGAGTAGGTCATAGTGTTGCTGTCCAGGCAAAATTTCCCTCATAGCACACTGTATGGTGTATGTTAAACCCCATTTCATTTCATTTCTTTAATGGAAAAAAAAAACACTGAAAGAAATTTGCATTGATTATCACATAAGGAATTTTGTAAGATGTTTTATTTCAAGAAATTACGCTGTACAATGATGTTATGATTATATCTAGAATTATGAAATCTGTTTTTCAGACAATGGGACTATTTTTACAATGTGCCTATGTCCTTGTTTGGGGTAAAAATTTGTTAAATAAATACATTGGTTCTTGGTTACTTGTGGTAAGTATTATATATTTATAATATTTACCCTTGGGTTATTAAAGATGGTTTATGTAAGAATTAGATAAAGAACTGGTCGTTCTCTCTATAATAGTTCAAATATAGATAATGCAAAATAAATAGACTGAAAATTTCTGTCAATTACTTTATTCTATGTGTAGCATGGGTTCATGTCTACTAAAGAAAGAGAGAGAGAGAAATGGGGTTTAACGTCCACTCGACACAAACCAGGTCATTTCGGGACTAACATATGGTTTAATTTTATTTCAATAAATCGCTTGCGCGTAGGGGTCTTTAGCAGTGGGAGGAAACCGGAGGACCCGGAGAAAACCCACGAGGCTGGACAGGCGACCCTACTCCTTGCCACGTACAACCGGGGATTCGAATCCACGCCAGTTGACTCAATGACAGACTTTATGATATAGCGCGCGCACGCTAACCATTCAGCCATCCAACCCCCCATGCCTACTAAATGTTCATTGAGTCAAGTTGTTTGGTTTCGATTCCCCGGTTGTATGTGACAAGGAGTAGGGTCGCCTGTCAAACCCTCTGGGTTTTCTCCGGATTTTCCGGTTTCCTCCCACTGCTTAAGACCCCTATGCGTAAGCAAATTATTGAAATAAAATAGAAGCATATGTTTTTCCCGAAATTACCTAGTTTATGTGAATCTTTCTCTCTCTGTAAACATAAAACATTGTTTTTGTCTGTGCTGTCCTGTAAGAATTATTGGTTAATATTAGACTATTTTTATTGTAGGAAGGATCGATTACAATATTAGGTTTAAGTTATAATGGTAAAGATAAGAATGGTAATGAATTATGGGATGGTTGTGCCAATGTACGAACACCAGAATTTGAATATGCTAACACATTCCGTCTTTTAATTCATTGTTTTAATTATAACACCAACCAATGGATGGCCAAGTAAGTAATCCTTTTTATATCTCATGTACCAGTAAGTAATCCTTATATTATATCTCATGTACCAGTAAGTAATCCTTATATCTCATGTACCAGTAAGTAATCCTTATATTATATCTCATGTACCAGTAAGTAATCCTTATATTATATCTCATGTACCAGTAAGTAATCCTTATATCTCATGTACCAGTAAGTAATCCTTATATCTCATGTACCAGTAAGTAATCCTTATATCTCCTTGGTTGTACGTGACAAGGAGTAGGGGTTTTCTCCGAGTCCTCCAGTTTACTCCTACTGCTAAAGACCTCTACGGGCAAGTGAATTATTGAAATAAAATTGAACCATTTGTTAGTCCCGAAATGACCTAGTTTGTGTCGAGTGGAGGTTAAGAAGAAAAGTTTTGATGAACAGAAAATTAAACTTGTTTGGCCTTACACATGTTCAGGGGCACTTTGACAATTTAATCATAAAAAACAACAAGATTATGGACATGTTAACGATTGTATACAGAGTCAGTTAACAGCCGGATTAAATAAATGTGTTTTAAGTTGATTTTTAATAGAATATAGAGATGTACAACATCTTAAACTAAATGGTAGATTATTCCATAAAACAGGAGCTTGAAAATTAAAAGAGCGCTGACCATAGTTGAACCGTTTGGACGTTAAAAGTAGTTTATCTGATGTACGTAATATTTGAAGTGGTGTATAGAGTTTTATAAGATATGAGACATACATGTAGGAGAAAACATAAGATTTATTGTATAAAAACACCCACAGCGGAGCAAAATACAATTACATCGTCACCATAAACAAATGCATGTATAAATGAAAAACCAAATTTCAGAGTTGTTTCCCTGTCCACATTTGGATTTTCATATCAAACAGTAACATGAACAACTTTGTGGCGACTGATATTTATTGTAATCTTGCAAATATCTGTACATGTATTTAATTAGAAAGAGGCCATTGAAATGTCTCTCAGTAATACACATTAATTTACCATATATATTTTGGACGTGTGTCTTAATTAGGCCTGACAAGAAAAAATGTTTAATCTTTTGGATGGGACGAAAAACCGAGGTCCCTGCATTGGCCGAGAAAGTTTATCAAGGTTTTCCGTCATGGTTTCCACTTGTCAGTTGTGCAGAATGGAAGGCCTGACAGGGACCGCTGTCTAGTCGTTCTGATGGGACGAGAAACCAAGGTCCCATGTATACATCGGCATGCACATTAATTATCCCTTGGCATTTGGAATTCGATATATGAGTAGGTCATAGTGCCACTGCCTGGGCAAAATTTCCCTCATAGCACACTGTATGGTGTATGCCCATCTTCATTAGCCCAGTCGAAGCAGAACAGTAGGATGTTAAACCCAATTTCATTTCATTGCTGTATCTTAATTAGAGAGAGAGGGGTTACACATAGTCACAGCCTTCTCCCCAATCCAAATTCAGATATCTATTGTTTATATAAAGAAAATATTATATTGTGTAAATTTTGTACCTTGTTTTTATATTTCAGGTATGTATTTAAACGCTTGAAGTTTCTAGGAAATAAATCACTATCACAAGGTGTTACATTACTATATTTAGCTTTCTGGCATGGTTTACATACTGGTTATTATCATTGTTTCCTTCTAGAATTTATGATGACTAACTTCGAAGACGGGGTGAGTATATATGTGGTCACCTAACATAGTCCCTGTCTGGTTAATTTGTTCACGTTTCTTATTGTCCTCTGCCTTTAGCAGAGAGCATGGGAAATGGGACTATTAAAATGGATTTGACCGTTTGTCTGTCCATCTATTTTTAAGATATAATCTTTAGTTAGGTAAATGCCTTTACTGAGTTCAATGGTGAGCACTTTCTGCTTAGCAAGTCAGAGTTAAATAAAATAATGGCTAGATGTAAGATAAAAGTGAAAGTGATTGTTTTAATTGGGATTGAGGAGGGGAACATCAACATCACCATTGACTTGTTAGATTTTATGTGTTAAAGTGCAGGCATTTAGACCTCAGGGTTTTCCAGTTTGGTGAGGATCCATGGTGGACAAGTGGGTGAGATGCTGGCTAGCTAGCCTGGAGGTTGCGGGTTCGCTCCCGGTGTTGGCATCAAAATTTTTCGGGCTTGGTTTCCCAAAGTCAGTAATGCAGGACAGGGAGAACATGTCAAGGACAGCTGTCTAGTTGTTTGGATCGGTTGGTCCCGTAGTGCCGCTATCTGGGTAAAATTCCCCTCATAGAACACTGTATGACATATGCCGGTAGGAGTAGTAGGACGTTAAACCTAATTTCATATCATTTCCAGCGTGATGTCACCTTGTTGGGTGATAAAATGTCACTAGTGCAGGAGATAGAGAATCTCGTAAGGAACATCGTCTAGTCGTTTTGATAGGACGAAAAAAATAGGTCCTGTTTACTCGTCGGCATACATGTCAAAGAACTAATGACCGATGGAATTTGAAATTAGGGAAGGCCTCATAACCCAGGTGTATGCCTGTCTCCATTAGCACAGTTGGTGCAGAAAAGTATGACGTTTAACCCCATTTTTAAAAATTGTTATTGTTTATTTACAGTTGTCATCAGTACTATCATCATTTGAAATTGTGAAAACATTCCAGTCGAAAGAATCATTTAAACCTGTTATATGGTTGTTTAGAAAGTTAGCTGTAACCTTAGCTATGAGTTATGCTTTAGTTAGTTTTGGTCTTCTTATAACACAAAGATGGCTACAAGTGAGTATGGTTATGATTATAGTAGAAAATGAACATATTTGTGTATCTATGGATAATGTGTAACATACAGTAAAGTCGGATATTGAACCCCATTTCGTTTCCTTTCACAACCAATATGGTTACTGTTATCTGGAGTAGTTTCCCTTTGATAGTTTCTGAGGGGGGAGTTTAATGGAATAGTCGATTAATTCAAGTAAACAAAAGACTTTCGTCCACCAATCACCACAGTGTATATATGTTGAACATAAGACACCTGTAACAGACATTGTCAGACACAAATTTATCACACAACTTATATATTATAATTTGTGTCTGACAATGTCTATGACAGGTGTCTTATGTTCATGGTATGGCCACACCTATTAAATATCAGAATTCCTATTCCGCCTGGAAAAAACAAATTTAAAACTAAAAGTTAAAGCGGCATTATGGGACATTAGATAAAGAGCTGACAGTTCTCACTATAATAGTTTAAAAAAATAGATAATGAAAACAGAAAATGCTGAAAATTTCAGCAAATTGCTTCATGGAGTGCATGTAAAAGATCCCTTGGCAGATGGAATTTGATATAAAAGTAGGCCGTAGTGCCGATGTCCGGGCAAAATTTCCCTCATCTATAGCACACTGTATGGTGTAATGCCTGACTTCATTAGCCCAGTTGGAGCAGAACAGTAGGATTTTAAACTCCATTTCATTTCATTTCTTTAATGGAAAAAAAAACCCACTGAAAGAAATCTCATGGAGAAATTCATCGCAATTTTCAACACTTGTGTCCAAATGAATAACTGGGGGAACTGAGTGGGTAGGTTGAACAACGCAGATGGGTAGATGGGTCAAAATCTCTCCTCAGGGTATTCGTTCGTACACAAGTTTTGAAATTTTGCGACTTTCCCTACCATTTTATTTACTTACTGTATATTTTACTCTGTTTATTTCAGGTTTATAAATCCATGTATTTTATTTTACATTTCGTCTTCCTATTATGGCCTGTTGTACATTATATTTTACGGAAATATGTTCTTCCCCGTAAATCATCTAAAACAGTCCCATCTAATAATACAAGTAATACTGAAAGGTGAGTTATTTCTTCTTTGACCTAGTTTGTGTCGAGTGGAGTTAAACCCCATTTCTCTCTCTCTCTCTCTATTTCTTCTTATTCCATAAATGAGTAGGGGATTGGAATAGGGTCGCGGGTCCAGTCTCGTGGGTTTTCTCCGTGTCGTCTGGTTTCCTCCCACTGCTAAAGACCCCTAAGCGCAAGCGAATTATTGAAATAAAATTGAACCATATGTTTGTCCCAAAATAACCTAGTTTGTGTCAAGTGCACGTTAAACCCCATCTCTCTCTCTCTCTCTCCCATGGTTGATTGGCAGTTGCATGCACCTTTTATCTGAAGGACTATAAATAGAATTATAAACCCCATTTCATTCACAGCCTCTTTGACACAACTTATCCATTAAGGGTCTTATATCCATATCATATATTAATTACATTCATACCACCAAGGGATTAGATATCATCTTTATCAGATGCCATGATTAAACACACAGCTATCTATCACTCCACAAACCACAGCAGACTTCAGTACCCTACATTTAGCCTCAGGGAGTAACATAGACCTGGTAGCTATAGCTATGGCCTACCACTTCCAGTTTCAGAGTTATGCTACTTTCGGTTCATGGCTATACCCGTGCTATGCCAGGTCAACATGTAATATATACGATGTGCAGTAATTTCTGTCTGACAATGTCTGTGACAGTTACCTTATGTCCAGACTTGTGTGTGGGATAATTTGTGCTTGACAAAATCTAGAACGAGTGCCTTTTGTCCATGCTTGCTGTTATGTAACAATTATGCTAATTTGGAGGTCTTGATCCTAAAATATCAGATCCCCTAATAGTTAAAAAAATCAAGAGACGACGGGGACATTTGTGATCGCTGAATCCTGACAATTATGTGCGATTTGTGTCAGACAAAGTCTGTGTCAAATGCCTTATGTCCATGCTTGCTGTTATATAATAATAATGCTAATTTGGAAGTCTTGATCATAAAATGTCAGTTCCACTATTTTAAAAATCGAAGAGGCGGTGGCGTTATTTTTGATAACCAAATCCTTACAGTTGTTTATTTTATTTTTTTCAGTGTCGAGAAGAAAAACGAGTGAAGTGTTTAATTGCTGTGTGTTTGAGTTGCGATATTTTATTGATAGAGATCGGTTTATTTTATATTTTAAATGATTTTGTTGTTAAACTACGAGCATATATTGTAATAATGAATTAAGGTTGTTATTATTGTTTGATAATTTATAGTTCTATGTTTGAAAAAAAAAACATAATCTACTCTACAAGTCTGATAAGTTTCAAAAATACACATTATCTACTCTACAAGTCTGATAAGTTTCAAAAATAAACATAACTGAGATGGTTTCTGTAGACGCGTACATGTACAGTCCTACTCTACAAGTTCAATAACTTTCAAAAATACGATGGTTTCTGTAGACGCGTACATGTACAATCCTACTCTACAAGTCCGATAAGTTTCAAAAATACGATGGTTTCTGTAGACGCGTACATGAGAAGTCCAACTTACAAGTCCGATAAGTTACTAAAGTTGAGTTTCACAAATAGAAAATAATTATTAGATTATCGTCACAGGCCTGAATATAACGATACTAGTTCTACCTGACAAACTTATAGGCACTATTAAACTTATACCGGACAAATGACAGAAACTATTGAACTACCAGACAAAATGACAGAAACTATTGGACTACCAGACAAAATGACAGAAACTATTGAACTACCAGATGAAATGACAGAAACTAATGAACTACCAGATGAAATGACAGGAACTGTTGAACTATTACTGAACATTTTGAACTTTGTTTAGTGACCTATGTGTCAAACATGTATTATGAATATCAATAAATACACAGAAAAAGACAAATCTACGCCAGACATAATGACAGACACTTGTGGAATTGTGCCTGACAAGGTTTGAATTAGTACCGGACATTGTCAGTGATAGTTGGCGTATTTCCAGGCTTGTCTACGCACACGTCCGATAAGTTGACTTTCAGAAAGTTATCTACTGTTGTCAAGGTAACCAATCGATCTACTGTGGCCATTATTAGCTAGAGATTTGACTGTTATCAAAATCTGACTTTTTAAAAATATTATCACAAAGTTGAAATTCTTCTAAATTAAAAAGTAGGGAAAACGTATAAGATATCGCTGTTATTTGGTTTTTCCCAGTGTTTGATTATTAATAACAGTAGAGGACGGTTTGAAATTAACACTAGATTTTCTTTGTCTGGTTGGAGTTTGACGAAGAAAAGCTGGATTGTGTATAGGATTATCTGGGTAACTTTAAACCTTTAAACATTGAATAAATAAGTAATCGCCGCCAAATTTCAACAATTACGTCTGAACGAATAACCTGCGGAACTGTGTTGTTGGGTTAAGCAACAGACCGCAGATTTTCGTACTCTGTCATGGGTGGATGACTGTCCCTACGATATATTTACCTAATTAACATATCATCAAGTGACAATAATCACAAGATACAAGATATTATTATGTGTCCGTAATTTGATCTCTTAACTTTAATAGTTGGGGAAAGGTCTTTGGTCATACAATTATTTACTGAAAAACTAACAGATATTCATGATATAACAAAGGTTGTGGTATAATGCAGTTTATAGAGGTGGCAACAGTGTTATAGAGGGACATCCTAGTGTATAATATAATAATAAGGTTATTGCTATAGTCGATGAACAAATGATCAGATTTATAGTGAAGTTACAGCATATGATATATATATGATGGTCTCTGTATAAAATGGGTATAGTCATTGGACACCAACATTAGTGTTGTAGGATGTCCTTGTGTATAATAACGGTCTCTCTATAACATGGGTGTAATCATTAAACACCAACATTAATGTTATAGGGATGTCCTTGTGTGTACTGTAATAATGGTCTCTCTATAACATGGGCTGCATCACTACAAATTATCAGACACAGCAATAAAAAACATACATTGAATTACCTGTCCTAACACTATAACATGATTGCATTATCTGCAGCCAATTAAATAGGGACTTTCTCGGTATCACAATACAACAAACAAACACAGCCCCATTCTTAACAAGGGGAAGATAACTAGCATAGATTGAGAAGAGAATTTGAATTTAAGCAAAATATTAGCGAACACCATGACACTTGTATAGTATTAGAATTATTATAGAGTATTAGATATTGTATAACAACTGGCGTTTTAATCTTAATATTTTACAAGTCTGACGTTTTGTCCAAAACTGTTTAAAAAACACCGATCATTGTGTTTGTTTTGAACAGGTTGAGATTTATGGGAATCAGACACAGCAACTGCATCCACAAATCCAGTTGGCTAGAGACAGGAACCCTAGATTTAACAATGAAGTGACTGACAGAGCAGTGGTCTTTGATGGTAATTCGGAATATTCAGAACTTACAATCAAGGGTTCCCCCCCCCCCCCCCCCGCCCCCCATCCTAGGGTCTCTCCCCCCATCCTTGGGTCCCCCCCCCACCCCACATCCTATTAAAAGACTGTTAAATCTTTATATTAAAAACGTAAATTAACTTGTAAGCAGGATAGACAACTGTATTGCTTCATACTCTCTCCTAAGTCACTACCTTTCCTGACTTGTATATAGATGTAAATTGTCTGATGACGTCAGAAGAAATCAGACATATTTTAAAGCTGGTTAATTATATAGATATATATTGGAGTCAGATTGGCATTGTCACGTAGGAAGAAATCTGACATCATTAAGGGCATTATCCAGAATAATTAAATTGTTCATGCTACCTTCTAATGAAAATATTTTGCCGCTATTGAGTTTGATTCTAAATACAGGCAGGGCCTACTATGTCTCCGTACATTTGTTGATTTCTTTTGTTGGCTACAATACTTTAAAAATAGTTTTGAGTTTTCATGAGAATATTACTTTTCCAAATGCGGCCACTCGATTTCCTTACTTAAATACATATACCATATCCATTTGTTGATTTCTTCTGGAAATATAGAAATATTCTGTTTACAACAATCAGATTAAAACACAGATCCTATTTCGTTTCGTTTGTTATAGTTCAAAATTTCGTCTTACTTGTCTTTACAAAACTAAGATCTGTTCTGAATGATGTGAGCTATTAGCCAATGAAACGGTCTGTTACGACGAGCTTTAGGCGTTTTTTGCACGGAACTGTGAGTTATCAACTAGTAACATCAATGCTGATTGGTTAATCAAATGTCTGACGTCATAGGGTCAAAAGCCACTCGTATGACCTCTGACGCGACCTATCGCTACAACCGGTCAGATCTTCATGTAGTGTAGGTCATCGAAAGTATAAAAAAAACGAAACGAAATATGAATCTGTATTTTAATGAGACCCGAGAATATTAGTTTTCCAATTGTCACCATTGTTTAATACACATAACATTTCCGTACATACAGACAAATTCTCTCTTCTTTTTTTACCTTACTTGAAATAGTTTTGAGTTATTGCATTTAAGATATTAAATATTATTAAGTGTTGTTAATAAATTATTTTATAATGTGAAGATTTATGCGTAGTATGTATTTTAGTTGTACCGTTTATATATAGACAACATATCTTTATTACAGATGCATTATGGGAGATTTGATAAAGAGCTGGCAGTTCTCGTTATGATAGTTAAAAAATAGATAATGTAACAGGAATATGTTGAAAATTTCAATTAAATAACTTCATTATGAGCAGAGTTATGGCCGTTTGAAGAACAGTGTAGTCTTGATTGTCTTTGCTAATGTTGTTACGATAACAAACAGTCTTGATTATCCATGTTTAAATCCACTGAAAATCACAACCATCCTATGGTCTAGAAAGTTGATTATGGGCTTGGTATGTAAATAAATGTCTAATTAAGGATTTATATAACATTTGAAGCCAAGCGAAAGATCTGCATAATGCATCTTGAGCTCTTTCATAATGCATCTTGAACGTGTTATATTATTGTCGTTTATCATTAGGCACATTTATCGTTGTACACTGCTTATTTATTCCACAACTTAGCCAACTTGTTGTTTTTGGCACTTTGTTGCTCTGGTATCGTCGCAAACTTTCCACATAGGTTAATCGTTTCGATGCAAGTGTTGAAATTTTGCGACGGTCCCACAAAGTAATTGTCCATTGGATCCAGTGTCGGGTTTTTGGCACTTTGTTGCTCTGGGATCGTCGCAAACTTTCCACATAAGTTAATCGTTTCGATGCAAGTGTTGAAATTTTGCGACGGTCCCACAAAGTAATTGTCCATTGGAACCAGCGTCGGATTAATTAGAACTTTTCTTCTTTGATTCTGCCTTCAGAAATGAAATGATTTAATCCTAATCTCTGGAGGCCCTCAATCAGTTTATTGGAGCCAGATTAAGACTTTGTAGGGCTGCCCCTGGTGTACAGTACATTAGGGTATTTTGCCGTTGTATGTTTTCCATAAATACTAAATTGAATTCTTGTTAAATGGATAATACTTACACTCAGATTGTGCATTTACAAATTGTTTAATCTTGATCTCTGGAGACTGGTCTGTTAGAGTCCAGTGGTCGACAGCCCCGAAAGCCCATGCTTTAATCCGGCCCTGGTTTTAACTAGATTTTTAAATCCTTTATTTCTCAGGCAATACAAGTATATCATCAACACCTTATTATCCAGTAGTAATTGTAAAATGTTTCTTAAATAGAAGCAAAAATTATTTCCTTTTATTTTTCATTATCTATATCCAAGACTAATTGAAAAATGTTTTCCTTTTATTTTTTTAATGGATACTAAAGATTTTTATATTTTGTCCGAAAACCTAATTTTTTTGTTTGTTTGAATGTCCGTTCTTTTAAGGGTCATTGGTTTCTTGTACCACTATCTAAAATCTTGAACACAGGCCACAGTCTTGCCTATAATTATTAATTAACTTTGTTTTAAAAATATTTACTGATTGTCCAAGTTTCAGATTGTCCAGCAGAAACTCTCCAACGGTCAGCACACAGCACACACCAATCTTTTTCAAAATAAGGGATAAAATTGTCATCACTTATATATGCTTAGTTTCTTATGGGAAGGGGGGGTTGGATGGCTGAATGGTTAGCACATGCATTGTATCATAAGGTCTGTCATTGTGTCAACTGGCGTGGTTGCGATTCCCCAGTTGTATGTGACAAGGAGTAGGGTCGTCTATCCAACCTCGTGGGTTTTCTCCAGGTCAT